TGGTACACTCTGCTTAGTATTAGTAACGATTGCATGGTAGCTTTTAAAAATCTCTAAGAGGTCAGTTTACAGATTTTCGTTCGCTCGACTTAGATATATTCATTCAAAATACAATACTTCCTTTCCTAACCCAATATTGTCTTGAGACGTTTCATTTTTATCTTTGGCTTTGCAGGTTTGGATTAAGCCCAATTGTTTGGTTTTCATTTTTTTGTCTGTTCTCTCTCTCTCTCTCTCTCCCCATTAGTCTGCCTCCCCTCTTTCTAAACCCTCTTGCTAGCTTCATTAGAGTGTGCTGACGCACTTGCTTCCTTTCAGGTGTTTATGCTTTTGCTTTTAGCTGTTTTTTTGGTTCAATTGGTTGAAGGTTGTTTTTGGTTTTCCTAATTTCTATACTTTTGTGATTTTCTTTTTTTATCTATCTTTGTAAGGATTTATTGATTTCTCTATGTTGTTGCAGTTTTGCAGATGTCATGTTTAACTTTTGGAGTTCACTAATGATAGGAGAGGGGTGTTTCTTCGGTCCAAGTTTAACAATTTTTTTGTTATTTATTTATATTTTTTTTATTAAGGTCTAACAGTTTTATTTTCCTACTTTTGTAGACGCTCCACAATTGAAGGTTTTTCTTCATGCTCTCTCTCTCTCTCTGGCAGGGATTGCATCTCCAGTACCATAGTTTCTTTTTTTTTTTTTTTTGGTTTTCAGATTTGGTTGATATTTCATTTTATTTCATCTACATTTGCATTGTTTTATCTATTTAAGATTAGTAATTTATTTTATGAATTAGTTTCATCAAGTGCAATTCTTTTGCTCTTGTGATTCTTCTTCATATATATATATATTTTTTAAATCTAGGTTTAAGTTGAGGCAAGATCTCTAAAACAAAAACAATATATTAAAAAAACATTCTCTAGGTGTATTGAAGATAATGGTCCCTACAACATATATGAAGGATGAGTCAATTTATTTTTGTACAAGATTCATCTCTATAGATGTTATATCATAATTGCTAATCACGATTTTCTTAGAAATTGGAAATATGACTATTAGTGTTTTAGAATTTTGGACATCAAATGGGGTTTCCAGCTGCTAAAGGATTATTATAGGTCTTATATAATTTGTGTCCTTTTATCTGGGTTTTGGTTGTTTGAAGTGAATATATGCTAGAATGGTGGCACTTGGCTATGGTCTTTCATTAAATCAATCCTTGGATGTTCCTTATTGCAGAAAGCTTACAGACAAGGTAGTAAAAACATATACCTTATGTTTGATCTCAAACTTTTGTATGGTAGATATTGGTGCTATTGGTTTAGCTTTCAAAGTAAGTTAAAGTTAACATTCTTAGACATAGCTACTTGTATATCCTTTTTTATCTGTTTTAGGGTTCTTTGGTCTCTCTATTGTAGTTGTGAGGTTGAAGTGTAATTTTCTTTTATTAAAAATATATTGTTATGAAATCGGGGCCTTATTTTCATAAACTTCTTGGAGCATGTCTTTGAACCTTTAGAAAAAATAGATGCAAGTAGCATAGCTTCCATCATATTTCTTAAGAATTGTAATTTTCTTTTGTGCTAAGATAAAGTGGCTACTTTTTTTTTCTGCTAATCTATGGCTATTAAAGCCTCAACAAGGCATAGATTCTGTCTTTTTAGAATTTATTAGAAGGTTAATTGGGTATAACCCAAATCTCAGTGTTATACATCATACATTGATAATAGGTGCAATGTAAGATCGTTTGGGCTTTGACACACTTGGTGATTTCATTTGTTGATCCTAGCAACAAATGACCGTGAGTGAAGCTTGATGGCTCTAAATGCTCTTCTTTTCTGGGGAATTTGGAAGGCCAGAAATAGGGGTGAGCAAAAAAAAAAAATCGAAGAAATGGTTAACCGAATCAGTCGGTTCAGTTTTAGTTCGGTGATTTTAAAAAATCAAAGGTATCAGTTAGGTTTCGGTTAACCAATTTTAAAAACTGGCGGTTAAATGAATCGACCGGTATACATGTTTTTCTATATATTTATGTATATTATATATATATATATTATATGTATTTTATATATTATAAATTAATAAATATGCATTATATAAATATATATATTTATAATATATTATATATTATTTATTATTTAAAATATAATATTTTACATATATTTATAATTTTTATTTTATATATATATATATATATATATTTTTATAATAAAAATTATAAAATATAAAAAACCGAAAAACCGACGAACCGAACCGTCGATTAACCGAACTGATCAACTGGTTAATCGACTGGTTTCAGTTCCGGTTATCGGTTTTCCAAAAACCAGTCTACCGGTTCAGTCCAAAAAATACCCACGGCTCGGTCCAAAAAAAAAACAGTACCCAAACCGTGGGCACCCCTAGCCAGAAAAGAGTGGGTCTTTAGGTCTATTCAAAGTGATCCAAATTCAGTGATTATCCGTAGCATTACGAGTTCTGAAGGATTACTTCCATTGGTACTCTTAAGTGCAATTGTGATGCAACCTTTAGTGAAGAGAGGAAAAAAAGGTGCTATTGCTTATGTTTTTCGTAACTCCCATGAGAGCTTGGTCAAAGCCATTGGAAAGTCGATTCATTGCACTTCAGTGTTCGAGTAGAACTATGTACGCTAGAATTGGAAAATTGGGTTTCACTGAAAGTGCATCCTTGCAAGCCTCTCATATTAAATTTTAAATGGATGCACCTAAGGTTGTTAAAGCCTTCAAAGAATTTTCGGCAGCGGGTAACCTCATTAAAGATCCGGATCATTTCAAAGAAAGCTTTGTGTCCTTATCAGTCTGGCATTTTCGAAGAAGTCAAAATCAGGTAGCCCATTCTTTAGCTCAACATACTTTAACATCGGTCATATTTGTATCACAGGGAAATCCCATTCCAAGTTGGCTGGTCAAAATTCTGAGAAATGATTACCAAATGATGTATCCTCCTTAATTATCAATAAATTTCTTTTTCTACCAAAAAACGCTCTGCACCAATTGAAATTGGGTTGGGTTTTGCTTCAAGTTAGCTAAATATCTAATAAGTCCTTTTGCTTCAAGTTTGCTAAATAAATCTTGTACATCGGACGAGTTCCTGCTATTATATTATAAATGCACATCATATTGGGTTGGGTTTAGGTTACTTAAGACCTCAACCCAAAAAATATAAAAACCCAACTTTTCAAGCCCAAGTCCAACCCAATCAATGCAAAAAAAAAAAAGAGGATTGGGTCAGGCTGGGTTCAAGTTGTGCCCGCCCAAATTGCACCCCTTGTAATAGTTGATTATAACTAGGGTGTCGTTAGAATAGATCTCCTCTTACTCTATTTTTTTTCACCATAAGATCCTGTAAGTAGGTGACTCATTTGCTTTCAAAGAAAGCTTTCTCTATCTCTTGATCTATTTGTCCACATTTTATTCTCTTAGTAGCTGAATCTGATTGTAACCTGAGCCTATAAATCAATGGATTTTGCCTTTTTGGTGTCAAAAGAATAAACACCTATACTCAACCGAGTTTATATATACAAATATTTCAATAATGCAATGCAAACGATTTAGATTTAACATAGGTTTACCACATAACTTGATCCAATAATATTCCTAATTTTTTTGTTTTTTAAAGTTTTCCTACTAAAAGATGTAACTTTTGACATCTAATAACAATAAAACAGGATGTTTTGACATCAATTTTTTTGTTCACTATACGGTTCAAACCATAAAATCGAACCAAATCAAACTGAAATTGTGGTTAACTTTTAAATTTTAATCTTAACTTTCTTTCTCTTCTCTTTGATACCCTATCCATAGCCCCTTTCTCTTTAGTTTTTCTTCCTTAAATGGTCATTCATCCTCTCTCACATTTTCATTGTCTAAGATAAACAAAATACCATTGTTGCCGCCCCACATTATCGCCGACTCACCGTTGTCCATTCAATCATTGTCGCTCCTCTCTCTCTCTCTCTCATCTTGTCATCTCTCTTCCTCTATTCAACCAAATCATATTCGCCCTCATCCGATAGTCCCCACCATTGTCGCCAACTCGCCGCCAGTTGCTGCAATCTCTCTTATCTTCCCATCTCCTCTCTTCTATTATTTGGAAAAGAAGAGCCCTAACCTTTTTTTATCTCTTCTCTAATATGTGTTCAATTGTAAACACTGAGGAACTAGAACTCTAGAAGTACAATAACACGAATTCGAATTTAGATTTGGGAGACAGGTAAAATATTAATCATTGTTATAATTTTGGACACAAAATTTAGGTTTTATTTATTTTTTAATTATATGTTTAAATATATATGCATGTTTTTAGTAGTATAAATGCTCAATTATGTGTTTATATGAGAATGTTTTTATTCATGCTCTAATATTTTACTACATTGATATCTATGTTATTCATGTTTAGTTAATTAAATTTTTTTATTACAAAATCCCTAAATTGTATTGAAAACCACACCAAATTATAATAAAATGGTTTGATTTAGTTTGATTTCTATGCCAAAATGGTTTGGTTGGGTCTGAGAATTTCCTAAACTGTAATTTAATGGTTTGGTACGAGATATTCTCTAAACCTCACCAAACCGGACCACGAACACCCCTAAGTGTATCCATCTATAAGATACACCTTGGATTTATTTGGTTTGTAAGAAAATTTCCCCTATATATAATCAATCCTTCGTCTATTTTTACTCAAAAATGAATTGAAACCCCAAAGGAATCCTGATTGTCTTCTTGGAAATTAACTGAAACTCTATTGACACCCTGCTCATCTTTTTCCAATATTCCTTAAAAAATCTATTAAATTTGTGAAAAACATTGGTCATCGTCTTCCTTGAAAATCAAAATAAACCCTTTCCAAACCCTAGTACTTCATCTAAAACCATGAAACCCTTTTGTAGTTATTTTTCAAATATTAGAAAATTGAATATATATTAGAATGTAGTATAAATGAATATGCACGGGCTTGCCCTGAAATAGTGGGCTAGCCCCGGCCCTAAAATTTGTGGGCCCGGACCCGGGGGGCTGAAATGATCACCCCAAACATATGATCTATTGAGGGAAGGCAGAAGTAGGGAGAGACTGACGTCTCAACTCTGAATCAGGTGGAGATGCAGTGGGTAGGCAAGGTTGTGGATCAGATGATGAGAGGAGTAAACAACAATACGGTGATCAACGTATTCCTGGTAGCATCGTTTGCGGCGTTGACAATCAGGTCAGTGAACCAGCAGAAGGACATTCAAGCCCTTGAAGCCGAGAAGGACTCCCTCCTCAGGACCAACAAAGCCATGAAGAAGGCCATGTGGGATTGGAAGCAGAAACTCTTCGCCGAAGCCACTGATGGGGTCTGCCCGGTTCCTCTCTCCAGACTCAGAGCCATCTACGGTGAAGCGCCCACGCAGCCAGGTGATAACTCCTTCTCCATGACCCTCTTCCTGTGGCCTTTTTAGGGTTTAGGGGCTTCTGTTGTGAATGTTTGGGAATTTCATACAGTAATTGTTTACTTGGTCTGGAAATTTGTGCATTGATTCAATGTTTGGGAATTTCTCTAATGAAGTAAGCAGATAGAATGCATCTCTGAGAATTTGGTCTTTTCTACTGTATTCGGACTCATTACAGTCGACAACCCGTCTCATATCTTCCTCTTCTAGGATATAGCCCCATTGTAGTAATACTTGGAGCTTCTTCAGAACGAGCTGATATTGTTTTAAACCCTGCTCAGCTGTGCTGGATGGTCTAATTTTAGATCATGTGGCTCGCAAAGTGACTTTAGAAGGTAGCAAAAGTTTTGCATGTCAGTGGTAGGATAACTAATCAGTCCTCCACAGGCCTGTTAAATGAACTAACTCTGATAGGACAATTACCTTGTAATATTTAGGTATTTGGCCTTTGATAGAGTGGGAAACCTAGGTAGATTCATGTAGCTGATTCCAATTACTTCTAGTTGGATGAGGCTTTGGTAGAGGTTTTGGCTAAAGAAGGTGCTTGTTTTTGTTTATTTGGATTTGAAGCATGTTTGTACTTCAAGTGAGAATTGATGCTTTCTTGACGAACTTAGTAATCAACTCTGTATGTAGTGGGAAGAAAAGGAAGTGAGATCCAATTCTATCAGTGATTCAATGAACTAATAAGGAAGGAATTTGAAAGTAAAGGTCAATCCATTTGGAATTAAGTAGGGAATTTGTTGATCAATTATAATATGATATCAAATGACCATAGTGAATATTGGGATTTTTTCTGTAGTTTCGAAATGTCTGTGGGTTTTTGAGTAGAGGGTTTAAGGCTATGTTTGGTGAATAAGTGGTTTGACAAATATTTACTTATTTTTAAATACTTACTTAAATAAGTACATATTAGTATTTGGGAGGTCCTTTCCCAAACCATTTATACTTATTTTAAGTACTTATTTGTGTTGTAGTGTTTGGTGAGTCACTTATCCTATAAGTACTTATGTTTGTGGAAATAACAATTATAGCCCTAACAATATATGTATAAATAGCTAGAAAAACAATAAAAAAGGGTTGACAACTTGTTGTTACAGAGAATGCTGCCAACTACTATGGATTAAGTTCTAGATCTGAAAACCCATCATCGCAAATCAGGGCATTATGATCCAAAAACAACATGGGAGAAGGAAAAGGGGTTGGAGAATTGAACAAAATGGAGCAAATAACATGAAGAAAATGGGGCTAAACGATGGGGTTTCACGCACCCGAAGCTGTGAGTCCTGGGAAAGTTGCCACCGCTGCTCTTAGATGTTCAAATGGAGAAGACAATAGGTTCTATTGTCATTTGAAGAAGGGGGCAGTCCTTGGAAACATAGTTTTCAAGGCGACGCCTAGGCGTCAAGGCGCCCTTGGAGGCTCACCTCGCCCAATTGCCAAGAAATTTTTCATACTGTGTAATAAGATACTTTTATTTGTTATTTTTTTTGAGATCATAATTATAAAATAGACATTATTAAAGAAAAATATTCATTTTTTGTGTTTATAAACTAATTTATTTGATAGGAAACAACAACTTTCATTAGAAATTGAAAAGATTATAGGCTTACCACCCACAAAATGGATGGAAAAAGAAAATCAAAAACTTACAAAGAGGCCCAAAACAAAGCCTCCCTAGTAACTCCTTGCTTAGCTAAAGTGTCAGCCATTCCATTTTCTGACCTTCTTACCCAATTAAAATGCATCCCAATTTCCCTTGCTAAGCTAATAATCTCTCTTAAAGGCTGTCTAAGAGACCACACTCCCAGGTTTCTAGTTTGCATCCACCCTATTACCAGCTCGGAGTCTCCTTCCACTTCTAATTGATGCATTCCCCATTGTTTCACCAGTTTCAAACCTTGAAGTAAGGCCATTACTTCTGCCCTTAATGAATTTCCCACCCCAATTGGGCCCGAGTAAAGGGCTAAGACTTTTCCTTCCTCGTTTCTGTACACACCCCCAACTCTTGATTGACCTGGATTACCCAAGGAGCTTGTTGAGTGGTAGAGTGAAAGAAGATAGGGACAATCACAGGGGGTTAACCAGACTTGACGTCTCCCATTTAACGAAATTAGTTCAAAATTTTTTGAATTAAAGACAATGTTCTGGTGGTCCTTCCTATGCTGATGTGGCCAGAGGGGGAATTGGTTCAGTTGGTCTCAACTGAGGTGCTCTATCTGAGCCGGTGGGATGTTGGACCACATGACACTTTTAGTGGACCACGTGATATCTTAAGTTGTCACGTGGGTCAGGAAAGGGAGAGGGAGGTGGTAGATGAGAATTCCCATCTATCATCTTCCAAGAAAGGTTCGACTGAATTGAAACCGGTACAAAAACGATGAACAGAAAGAGAAACCCGTTTCCTGAGCTGGGTCTATTGACGAGATATTGATGAACAAGCTTATCGTGCAGTTGATCGCCCTAATCTGCGCTACTTGAGGGATATAATAGAAGAAAGGGAAGAGGAAGACCAAGGGTGGATAAGTTGTTGTTTAGAGAATGAATTTGAGGAGGAGAGTTCAGATGAGACCTCAAGTTTAGGGAGTACGGAAGATGAAGGACTCCAAGAAGATCAAAATAGGGAGACCCTAAATTTGGAGTGTCTCTTTCATGGAGATATGGTGGGAGAACAAAAAGAGAATGTTGAGGTTAAGTTGAACATAACAGAAACCATTAACACAACAACTCATACCCAAAAATGTGGGGGGCAAACCCAATGCCCAAAAGTGGACGAGCCTTTACCAAGTTTATTGCTATGCAAGAAACCGAGAAGGAGATAGCTCATGTTAACCTAGAACTGAACAATGATGCATCATAGAGAGGTAAACAATTGGGTAAGGGAAGTGGTCTTTGTGTGGACCAAATGACGGGGAATATTTCCCTCCAACACAAGGAGACAGAGAACTCCAACTATTCATTACAGGGCCTGACGACCAACTATCCTCCTATGCCCCTTTCTCTTAATCCTTAGTCGAACTCAGGTAACTTTGTCAACTCTGTAAATTTAATTTTTGTTACTGATGAGTATTCTGTGTCCCTTGTTCTAGACTCCCTTCCTAGTCCAGAGTCAGAGGCCCATGGTCAGAAAGCCACATTGAGACTTCAGGGGGAGAAGGAAGGGGAGAAGATGGTGGAGGAAACATGTAGGGATAAAAGAATTTGGGGAATCATTGAGAGCACAATGGGTGAAGTTGAAAAGAATGAATTGTAGAGGAAGGTTATAAATGGGACAGAAATGGTATGCAGTGGAGAGAATTAGGAAAGAATTGAGGAGATGACTAGGAGCAGAGAGAACAAAAATATAGAAAGAGGTGAGGCTAGTAAGGAAGATTCAATAGCAGAATTTGTAGGAAAGTTGGGATGTAAATTGAAGAATCCAAATGATCTGAAAGCCTTTGTACAAAAAAAAAAGGAGGAGAGTAAGATTAAGAAAAGAAAACTGAGTGAAGTTGAGAGGTTAAAAAGAGATATTGAGGGGGATAAGAAGTTTGGGGTGAGAGGGGATAGAAGGAAAGGGGTTAAATAAATCTTTGGTGGTGCTAGGGTTGAGTTTCAAAGTTGACATGAGAATCCTAAGTTGGAATTTGAGGGGTTTGGGTAGTGCGAAGAAGAGAGCAACTATCAAAGAGGTGATTAAGAAGTTTAACCCGGATGTGGTGTTAATTCAGGAGTCCAAAAGAATTGATTTCGATAGTAGATGGGCAAGAAATGTTTGGAGGTCTAGGGGGATAAAGTGGGTGGTTGCTGCATCGTGGGGAGCCTCAGGTGGGATTGTAACCTTGTGGAAAGAAGATGTGATGATAGGATTAGAGGAATTAATAGGTGATCATTCAGTTTCTCTAAAGTTCAGGCAGGTGGAAGATGATTTTGAATGGATTCTGACAAATGTATATGGCCCCAATGACTATAGGCAGAGGAAGAAATTGTGGGAAGAATTGACTGCTATTAGGGCCTTTGAGAAGGACCTTGGTGTGTGGGAGGGGATTTTAGTGTAGTGAGATTCGTAGAGGAAACCAACAACCCTAGACAGAGAGTGACAACTAGTATGAGAAAATTCAACCAGTTTGTGAATACTTTTGAGCTTAAAGAATTTCCACTCCAAAGTAATAATTTCACCTGGTCCAACCTACAATCAAGCCCGATATGCTCTAAGATGGACAGGTTTTTGTTCTCAACAGATTGGGAAGATCATTGGGGTAATCTAACTTCTAGGGCACTCCCTAGACTCACTTCAAACCACTGGCCTATGGTGATGCGTAAGGAGGAAATGGACCTGCCCCCTTAGGTTTGAGAATATGTGGTTGATCCATCCGAGCTTTATTGAGAAAATCAGAGAATGGTGGGAGCAATTTAATCCGTCAGTAGATTGGGAGGGTATGAGATTCCACAAGAAGCTTCAATTCCTAAAATCCCAGATAAAGGAGTGGAACTGTTTGGAGTTTGGAAGAAAGAAAGCAGATCTTGATGGAGCAGATAGAGGAATTGGACTTGAAGGAATAAAGGGGATCTTTTGGAGATGAATACAAGGAGTTGAGATGGAGTGTGAGGAGGCAGATGGAGGATCTCTTGCTTAATGAGGAAATAAGCTGGAGACAAAAATCCAGATGTAAATGGTTAAAGGAGGTAGATAGAAACACTAGGTTTTTCCATTCTATGGCAAATGGTAGGAGAAGAAACAATTTCATCTCAAAATTGGAAGTTAAAAGTGCAGTCATATCCCACTTGGCAGAAATAGCATGCCATTGTAAATCATTTTAAATCTATTTTTAGAAGGCCTTTAAGTGAGAGGGTTTGGAATGGTCAACTCTTAATGTGGAGAATGGAGAGTGGTTAGATAAGAATTTTGATCTAGAGGAGATAAAGGAAGTAGTGTTCTCAATGTATAGGACAAAAGCTCCAGGCCTAGATGGTTTCACAATGGCATTTTATTAGGATTGTTGGGATATTGTGAAGCAGAATCTTGTGTTAGTTTTTGAGGAGTTTCACAGAAGGGGAATAATTAATTTAGGTCTAAATTCCACATTCATTGCTTTGGTCCCAAAGAAGAAAGAGGCTTCACAACCAAGGGATTTTAGACCTATTAGCTTGGTAAATAGTCTGTACAAGATAATTGCTTAAGTGTTGTCTCTAAGGATAAAGAAAGTTCTTCCTACCATTATTGCACCCAACTAAGGAGCTTTTGTGAAGGGAAGACAAATCATTGATCAAATATTGATTGAAAATGAGAGTTTGGAGAGCTTTAGGAAATCCAAGAAGAAGGGAGTGTTTTGTAAATTAGACTTAGAGAAGGACCTAGTTGATTGGTCCTTCTTGGTGGAGGTGTTGAGAAGTTTTGGCTTTGAAGACAGATGGTGTAAATGGATCTGGGATTGTGTTAGGAGTTGCCACTATTCTATCTTGGTGAATGGAACTGTAATGGACTTCTTTCCTACCTTGAGAGGAATAAGACAGGGAGATCCACTTTCCTCCTTTCTATTCACTTTGATTGCAGATGTCCTAGGGAGATTGATCCATAGAGTTGACTCGAGGAACTTAATAAAAGGATGGAGAGTAGAAAGGGAGGAAGTACCACTTACGAACTTGCAGTTTGCAAATGACACAATCCTATTCTGTGAAGGTGGGGACATAAATTGGATAGGGAATTTAAAATTGACAATACAACTCTTTGAATAGATGTCTAATCTCGAAGTGAACTTTGATAAGAGTTGTATGGTGGGAGTGAATTTGGAGGAGAGGGAAGTAAGTGAACATGCAGGTGTGTTAGGTTGTGCAATCTCATATTGGCCTTTGATTTACTTGGGCCTCCTCCCGTTAGGAGATAACCCGAGGAATGAGAGCTTTTGGAACCCGGTATTGGAGAGATTTGAGAAAAGGCTTGCTTCTTGGAGGAAAAATTATCTCTCCTTAGGGGGGAGAGTCACTTTGATTAGGTCTACCCTAGCTAACCTTCCTGCTTACTTCTTGTCAGTGTTTAAGATTCCCACAAAGGTCTCTAACAGTGTGGAAAAGGTAATGAGGGTTTTGTTGTGGGAGCTAGGAGAGGAGAAGAAAGATCACAAGGTGAGTTGGGAGGTGGTAACTAGATGTAAGAAGCTAAGAGGGCTTGGGATTAGGAATATCAGGAAAAGAAATATGGCTTTGTTGGGGAAATGGTTGTGGAGGTTTCCACTGGAAAGGGACAAATTGTGGACAAAGATAGTGACTAGGCATACATGGGCTGGAAGAGAACGACTGGGATCCAAGAATTATGGCAAGGGTTACAGATGCTTCTTCTTAGGTATTTAAAGACCTGTCTAAGGAAAGGAATCTTGTTCAAAAGGCACAATAAACTTGAAATAGATGCATATACCGATGCTGATTGGGATGGATCAATTGGAGATAGGACGTTTACTTCTGGATATTGCACATTTGTTGGGGAGACATCTTGGCAGTCCTAGGGCCAGTTAGACATAGATTGATGCCCATACATTGCTCTCCTCTTCTTGTCTTACTCTGCTACTTCACCACTTCAACAAACAGAAAATATGCCATGGAAATAATTGGGAAATTAGGGACATTTTAAACTATGACTGGGGCTAAGTCCTAAGTGTGCTAATAAATGTGGTGAAGATGGTATGTAATACCAGTGTTTTCAACCCATTGTTGACCTAGTCGGTTGAATTGTTCGAATCGTCACCTGGTCAAGATTCCGGGTTCGGTTTGAGTTAAACCTAGAGAAATGTCAAAAACCACCAGACCTGGACGGCTGGACCGTTGACCTAGTCAACCTGGTGACAGGGTCGTGGGTTGCATACTGACTATGTATGCAGTCTTTGGGAGGCCATAGCTTTGCACTTTGATGTCTGATTGAGTTTTGTTATTATTATTATTATTTTTATTATTATTATTATTATTATTATCTCGGGTAAATTTTCGAGATCTAGGCATCCCAAGGCTCCTTGTCCCACTATTTTCGTGAAAAAACCCCTTTTTGTGGCTTCAAATAGCAATTTTTAATATTTTTTATACATAAAAAAGTTAAAATTGAATTTAAAAACATAAATTAAATATAAAATAATACATATATCATATCTAAAGCATAATTATACATTATTTTTTGATGAAATATGTATTTATACATATATATATACACATATATAATGTATATAATTATATATACTTAAAATATATAGACGCTGATGTGGCACGGTCTGAACAGGTGACCCACGACCAGGAGGCTGAAAGCGACCCAAAGACAAAAATGGTTCGGCCTCTTGGTCGGTTTTTAAAACATTGTGTAATACTATGTTTTGAGCTTTGGCCTATTCCAGTGGTCAATTTTTGGTTTTGGAGTTGGATGGTGAAGCCTGGAGGTATTTCAAAGAGAATCTACCAAAATAAAGGTTGATTGATACAGTCGGGAAGAGCAACCCATTGAAAATAACTGTGTTTAATCACAGTTTTCCATTAGGACCATAACATCTTTTCAAATATAATCAATAAATTTGTTATTACATGGCCCACAACGGCTCAAAATCAGGATTGCCTCATAAATAGAGATTGCTGCGTGCATAGAAACATGTAAGGTTGAGACAACCTAAATTTGTTATTACATGGCCCACAAAGGCTCAAAATCAGGATTGCCTCATAAATAGAGATTGCCGCGTGCATAGAAACATGTAAGGTTGAGACACAACCTAGATTTTCTAGATTCCATGAAAACAGGAGCAATTGAGGAGGAAAAGGCACAATGAAACTTGTCCAGGAGTCATGGATGGATCTCTATGGGTTGAGTCTTGAGACCTTCAGCTTGGATGTTGTACCCGCATTTAGTGTTGGTCAAGCTACAAAGAATGCATTGTCAGCTGATCTAAAGTTACATTTCTGCCATAAGACTTCGGCATTTGTCAATTAAATACTAGTTCCTCTGTTTATCATACTGTTTCTGCTTAGATCTACTAGATTGCATATGCAAGAAGGAAAGGTGAAAAGGAAAAAAAGTAAAAGAAAGGAACTGATATTCTAGATTCCATGAAAACAGGAGCAATTGAGGAGGAAAAGGCACAATGAAAAATGTCCAGGAGTCATGGTTTGATCTCCATGGGTCGAGTCTAGAGACCTTCAGCTTGGATGTTGTACCCACATTTAGGGTTGGTCAAGCTACAATGTAGGAATACATTGTCACCTGATCTAAAACCAGAAGTAACATTTCTGCCATAAGACTTTGGTATTTGTCAATTAAATACTACTTTCTGTCTTTGTCATACTGCTTCAGCTTAGATCTACTAGATTGCATATGGTAGAAGGAAAGGTGAAAAGGAAAAAGTAAAAGAAAATGAACTGATATTCTTTGTGAGTGCTGTATGGTTTTCAAGACATGTGGTCTCTATGATTTATGAAAAGGAGCCAGATTTCCTGAAGGTATCCGTCACAGCAATGAACTTATTACATTCCTTGTCACTTTTTCACTTGCACAAAGCTTGCCAATACCCTCAATATGGTACCAGCATTTATGAGTTTGTATCAGCTCTTCTAATAGAGAAGCAAAATCACTGGCCAAAGCAGTTAGGATCCATAGCAACCAACAACTGTTGAAGTTCTAAATTTATGGCATGTAAAGTTGTTTTAGTAATTACTGATAAAAAGGTTGGTTTAGTAATTGCAAAATGGATGTTCTGCATCCCAATTGGACAGGCCATCATGTTTTCTTTCATCTTTTGCATGGTTGTTTTCAATCCTGAGTATATGAGCTAGCTCATCAAGCCTATGTAGTTAGGTCATTGCAAAGTGTTTCTATGGGAAGCTTGGCAATACCCTAAATTGTTCATTAGATTTCTAATTTTAGGAAGTCATGTATTTAAACAAATCCAGAATGTGTGTGAAACCCTCTATTATGAAACATAGTAGCTTTCAGTTTAGTGGCTGTTGGAGTCAACCGATGTAAAACATAAGAAGTTTTTCTTCTTGGTTCTTTTTTTTTTGTTTGTTTTTGAGGTATATGAACAAAGATCTCAAGGAAGAGATGATTTATTTTCCCTCAATAATAGTAGGATTTCTTTATCTGCCTAGTTAAATTATCTCAAGGAGGTATTGGTAAATAATCATGTATTTATCCTTTACTGACAAAGTTTAAACAAACCATAGGAATGAATTCATAAACAGGTATTGCATTTTTCTCTTTCCCATTCAGTTACTGAATTCGGTAAATGTGGGACATGTAACTTATAGACCTTTTGGAGCCCTTGTTCCTTGCCTTATTATTATTTGGTGTAAAATATAGCAATCCTGCTTTGTTAGAATTTTTGTAAAGGAATTGGTTGAAATTTCAGCCATCTGGCAATATGATACTACACTTCTTCCAGATCTCCTTCACAGCGTAATTCTTGACTTAGTGGAATTTTTTGAAACTGGAAATTATATGTGCATTTGTAGCTAAATGTGGCCCTGACTATATGTTGTTGTTTAGATATCTTTGTCTTAATTGATCAGTAAGCACATAGATACTCCATTTGTTCACATCATAACTTGTAGTTTCCCTTCATTTCTTGCTAATGATGTTGAAACACTTTTCTTTGTGCAGCTGTAGTAGGAAACACTGTGAAGGAAGACCCAAAATCCATACCGAAATTTGTAGTCTGACTAGGTTCTATGTTATCCTCTCTGAAACTATAAACTTGAGAACCATTTAGAGGAATCCCTGCTTCTCATTTTAATAGAGCAGGCTATCAAGAAAGAGATTCCAACGAAACACTCCACATCTCAGTGTTATACTGCCACAGTACGCCTTTAGTACTTGCAGGTTAGGATTCAAGTTTGTCATAGTATTATACATTTGATAGCTGTTTGGTAGTTTTGGGTTGCATCACGTAATTTCAAGTGAGTGCCACCTGACAGCATCGACTACCGAATCATATCTATTTTTTTATCAGAAAATAGGATTCTTTAGATTCTGTTCACTTTTTTATATCAAAATGGGATTCTAGACTAAATTATTGTTCATCCTCTTAAAATAGGAATCGTCTTGGATGATTGGATTTGGTGATGCAGGGCCTCAAACCAAAAACTTTGGGTTGGGGGTTCAGGTTGGCCCGACCTCTCTACTTCCTTTTGCCAAATGTACTTATTTCCTATACTTAAAAGGGTACATGTTAATTCAATATCAGCGTAATAATGTGCAAAAGGACATTTTTAACATATAAATATCTAGATATATACAGGTTATGAATGCATGATTGCATATATACATGCATGAATGGTGAATGCACATATACCTAAGTACGTGCGTAAATACATGTTTATATGTGTATACATGCAAATATGAAGCTGGATCAGGTTGGTCAAAACCCCAACCCTAACCTAGGGGTGTCAATTGGACTGGATTTGGTCCAATCCGGTCCAGTTCAATGTGAGTCCATTACAAATGGACTTGGTCCAATCCAGTCCAGTGAATACTTTGGACCATTGTGAACCGGTCCAAAGACTGTCCAATCTGTTCAAATTCTTGTTAATTTAAATTGGTTTGGTTTCAACTCAAACCTAGTCCATTGACACCTATGTTCTTCTATCAATTGACCAGATATTGGCTCAATCCAATATAAATTCATTATGGACGAATCAGGTCCAATCCATTATGTCATATTGGTCCGTCCAGTCTGTCCAAATTCAATATATCTTATTGGTCTGTTCCAATCCGTCCAAATGGATTTTGGTTTGGACAGAGTCCAACTCAAAATTGGTTCATTGACACCCCTACCCTAACCCAACCCAAAGTTAGGTTGGGCTCATACTATTCAACCCTAACCTGAACTTCAACCTTACCCAATCCAACTCTAGTTTTTTTGGGTTGGGCTTGAGCTAACTTGGCCCAAATTGTAACCTTAGCTTGGATGGTCACTTGGCATGAGGCATGGAATCAAAGTATCAAACTCATCTAAATTTCATCCCACTTCCCAAATGTTTTTTATTTGATCAATCCAACACATTGTACAGATTTCGATGAACACAAATTTTTTCTCCAGACTTAAGTCTTTGCATTGTTTTTATATTTTTTTTTCTCCTGATGGAGCCTTAAATATGGAAAAAATATTATGGTAGCGGTGATCCCTTGAGCTTGATAATCTGCTAGAAACAAGGTTGTAAAATGTAGTAGCGCCCAACCAGAGGTAAACACATCAGTTGCTCCAGATCTTGTATCAGTATGGATCGTTGTTGTGTTTATTTCTGATTGGGTATCATGGCCCATTTTACATATACTTTTTTCTACTCTCTACTACATATGGAGTCTTGATCAAGTAACATAATGAAAGAATGGTAGGATCCATCTAATGGATGCCAATAAGGTTGCGGAATGGGTGGGCGAATTTTAAAAATTTTTCTACCTTCTTCCAACTGGGAATCATATTCCCTAAATTTAGAATACTATATTCAATGATCCTACTTGAACCATAATCGAACCAGATCTGAACCAAAAGGCAAAAAGGAGGAATATATCTGATCCGGAGAAACAGTATCTCCCAAAGTGGGTGTTTACGCCCAAAGAAGAAACCAAGACCCGCTCTTGCTGAAAATGACACAACTGTGGGTGGAACGGAACCAGCAGGGTGCGTCTTACACATTGGATCCTTCGCAAGAATCCTCTGGAAATTCTGAACACTGAATCTTTCTCAGTCTTTTTCGCAAGACTGATGTCAAAAACTGATTTCTTGACTTCCTATTGTTGCAAAGATCAAATCTTGCAAAAGGGAATGGCGGCGACTGGAGGAAAACTCCTGAGACGAAAATGGCTGAATTGCTTCTCCTCTCTGGAGTCTGTATGAGATCTAATCTCTACTTGTAGGACAATTTCTTGCATCAAAAACCCTTGGTTCGAAATCTGATATATTTCTCTTAGGGTTTCTCCTCTTTTCTTCTTAATTAAGAAACCTCCTATTTTTTGAGTTATCCTAATCCAAATCAGTATTTGGATATGGATTATCTTAATCATATCTGCAGATTAAGTTAGTTTACTTCTGATCTTATCAGGAGGTTACCAGATTCAAATCTGTTTTGAATTTGGTCTCCCAGAGTGGATAAGGTTAAAGGCTCTATCGTTTTATTAACATTAATCTTAGATTCGCCCCATAGATGGGTGAACATATCAGCCCAGCTCGAAATGAGCTTTTGGCCCATTAAGTGTTCAGTGTTTAACTAGTCTCCAATCTGCTGCCTAGTTGGGCTTCTTTGTATGGCATGGGACCCAAGCATTGATCTACMCCAGCCACATGGGTTCGGCCCAGCCTTTATTACAAGGCCCAGCCGAATTCACTAAAAAACTCAGTGAACCCCTGAGCCCATCACATGGACCCTATGGGCCCAATACTTACATTAAGTGGTCCCTGGGCCAAGGCATTTTATAAAAACCCAAGGATTGTGAGCAGGTGCAAGATTAGCCCATCAGGTACTACCCTAAATGGACTTACACTTAACCTCTCGGCCCTTAATGATTAAGCACTGCCCGACAAGAGGACTTCTCCCTCGACTGCAAGAAACAGTGCCACACTCTCCACTCACATGGATCCCGGGAATTAAAACCATTTACAAACATTTCGAATATATATATATATATATATATATATATTGCAAAACAAAATTCCAACAATTGAAATCAACTGCCGGCAGTTTGGTTTCCATCAGAGATAGTGCATTCCCGATCATTACCCTTTGTCCGACAAAGGGGCTGATCCTGTCACTATGATCACCCACTCAAATGAATTCTTAGACTGTCCCAACATACCCAGGTTTTGATCCCCATCTAAGGATCTCACTGATTGGTATATCAAAGACAGTCCGATCCGACACCTAGTGAAGTGTCATAATCGAGTCTAGGGGTCAGGTGTAACTTTCCGGTTTTGCCCATCTATCTCCAAGGTCCAGGACAATACTGGAAATCTGGTCCGGTTCAAGGATTCGAGTAATCACATACTGCATGTGCCTTGGGTCTTACCTTGGTGGCCGAGACATGCCATCCCAGGCATAGTTTGGGCCCTTAAGCTTGTTATCGTCTAGAGGTTTTGCGAATTGACCGTTTGTCATTTTCTGATAAAACAGCAAAGACGTTAGTCCACAACCTTAGTTTGATTCATGTTACTTACACAGATATGGTTTTTAATCTATGTTCCATTCTCATTTGTACATCTTTGAGATTTCCCTCCTTTCTCAGTGACGGAGACGGCGAAATGTCTCTAGAAATGTGGGAAATCACATGGGGTGCGTGAAGCCAACTGTTTCAGCTGCATAACCCCACCACCTTTCTGTGATGGATCATATCCACTCATCAAATGAGTTTTCCTTTGGCCTCTGTCAAACAAGGTTCAGAGTCATTTTCAGGTAAACCTTTCTATCCAGTGAGTGCTTACT